GCAATTTTAAAAGATTAAGAACTACTCAAGCCAATGCATATGAGGTCGATCGCATCATAAATAAAGTATCGTAGATGAGCTTGTATATGGTTGCCCTTAAAGTCAATTTGATTAATAATTATAAGTAGTGGTGGGTTGATGCTAATACTACAAGATATATATGAATCGAGAAAAAAATGTTCTTCATTTATAAAAAAGTAAATGGTAAACACACATAAGGGATTCATTATTCTCTAAAATACTAAGTATTAAAAAAATCATTCTAAATATAACTTTTAAAAAGCTTCTTATCTTTAACAATGTGCTTGATATAGTTAATATTAGAAAGAACTTAGTATCTAATTTATTATTATAAAATATTTTTTTAAAAATGATAAATTTATACTCACTAAAATAAAATGTTTATTGAAAAAAGTTATTTATATTATAACCTCTCTTAAATTAAGTATAATGATTATTATAATCAATGGTAAGATTAATAATAATAAAAATGTCTCTTATTCTTACTTGCTTAAGATATGTGACACAACATATTGGGACATATGAATTTTAATCTTGAACTATTAACTAAAGTTTTTGAGAAAATCCATTAGCTTGTAGAATCAAAAGAAAAAAGTTACAAACTTCTACATTTAATTCACTAATATAAGTGATTCAAAATTTATGAAAAATAAAAGTAGTAAAAAGTATTATATTACTTTTATAAATGATTAAAATTTATGAAAAATAAAAGTAGTAAAACGTATTAGATTACTTTTATAAATGATTTAATAAGGTATTCTTATACCTATTTATTAAGAAACAAAGATAAGACTCTTCAAATGTTTAAGAATTACAAGAATGAAGTTAAAAATCAATTTAATAAAAAGATAAAGATAATAAAAAAGTAATAAAGTTGGAGAATTTGAAGTATAAATTTGATGAGTTTTATTTTTAAAATGATATTATCCATAAAATTATCACTTTTTATTCACTTAAATAAAATAGCACCAATAATATAATAACCAAACTCTAAAAGAAGTTATAAATACCATCTTAATAAGTTTTAGAGCATCTTAGAACATTATGGGAGTTGCAATTTTGACTATAAATTATATATTTAACAAAGTACATCATAAAAAATTAAAAAAGACACCATATAAGATATGTAAAGATATAAAATCTTTCTACAAACACCTCAAAGTGTGGGGGTATTTTGCAAAAGTTGCAATATATAATTCTAAAATATTCAATGGAGGTCATAAATTTATGATTTATGTATTTGTTGGATATTCTTATAATAGTGGTGCATATTTGTTTCTTGTTATAAATTAAGTATTTAGGATATTCATCCTAATATAATAATATAATCAATTAATGCTATAACATTTCAAGATATGTTTTTTTTATGAAGCATAATAAACTCATTCACTTGAAAGGATGAATGAGACAAGCTTGCGTAATAATCATTAAATAAATGAGGAAGAGATTGAGATAAGATAAGAGAATGAAAACAAATAAAACATTCAATTACCATCTTTTAACTTTCTTGCTAAAAATAAACCTTAAAGCTACTCTACAGTCATGTCCTATCTTGAAACTTTTTATTTAAAAGAGGAAATCAATATATAAATTGAATCAATTATGCAAAATTATAATATGAATTAGTGAATCATCCATATAGAAGTAAATTATTAAGTTATAAATGGATTTTTAATAAAAATAAAAGTTGATAAAACAATTGATAAATATAAAATAAGTCTTATTGTGAAATGTTTTAAATAATAAGAAGGCATGGACTATTTTGATACCTTTTCACTTATGTTAATAATAACTTTCATATCAATATCAATAAATATTTTAACTATTAACAAGTTTAAAACACACCTCATATATATATATATATATATATATATATTTCTTAGATGGTAACATTGACAAAAAGATTTATATGAAATAACATAGAAAGTTTGTTTATAGAGGGGGTGAAAGGAAAGTTTATAAGCTTTTCAAGTTATTATATGGTTTGAAAAAAACATCTAAATTATGACATGAGAAGTCTAACAAGTTTGTTATCAAATAAGTTTAAAATCAATAAAGTGTATAAACATATTGATGTGAAAAACACATATAAAAATTATTTATGTCATTACTTGTTTTTATATTGACAATATATTAATTTTGGGCAACAACAAATATATGATCAAGTGTACCAAAAAGATACTAATTAATAAGTTTGATATGAAAAACTTTGGTATTATGGAATATTTGATGAATTAATAGTGTCCCTGTCTCATTAAATTGGATGTAAATGTATATTTCTCTAAAAATAAAGATGAGAAATTCTTAAATAATTAAAAGTTATATATATATAAGAGTAGATTTATCTTGCCTCTAACCCTAAGTTTTGTTAATGTAGAGAGCACTCTCGATGAAATTATGGAAGGCAAATTACACCAAAAATGTGTGCACCTACAAGTCATATAACCTTAAAGATAGTTCCTAGCAATAACTTTCTTTTCTATCTTGGTTTTAATTCAAAATTGAACAATTCTACAAGTACTCTACACTTGTCTTTTGTTTAATATTTTGCGTTCATATTTTTATCCTACAAATATATTTATTTGATTTAAAAAAAAAAAACAGTTTTCCTAACACAAATAGGCATTAAAACACCACCGGCCTGTCAAAGAGATTCAAGGACTTTTTGGATTTCAAAAACTTCACCTCTTACACTTTGCGCTCGTGACATTTTTAGCCCCCTTACTTTTTTTATAATGAGATAATGGTATATAAAGTGGACATCTTCTTCCATTTTTTTGGTGATTTTTAATTAAATTAATTTAGATATTACTCTTTTTTCCTTTCAGATTTCTTATTATATATATATATACACACACTGTTAACATAATGTGTCAAATAAATAGGATAAAGTGCTCACACTTACATCACAAAATTAATATCGGTTGAGGAGAGTAAACTGATAACTTTATCGGACAAGGATGCAAGGTATAGAGTTATAGTAGCTTTTGGAGAGGAAACTTTCCTTCTTTTCACTGGAAGCTCAAAGCCATCGAAGAATAGTTAATTCAATCATCAATTCAAATTTACTTCATTTTAGATGATTTTTTTAAAATATTAAAATAAAGATATATTAAATAATATTTTTATTTAATATTAAAATAATAATAAATTGGATTAACTTAACCTATAAAGGATAATCTTGTAAAATATAAATTTAAAAAATTTAATTTTTAATTAACTCAATAATAATAATAAAAAAATAAAGAACTAATATATATATAAACTAATTACACTCGACTAAACTATTTAAATTCGCATTTCAAATTATGCACATCATCAAATTCAAGAATATATTTTTATTTTGAGGTTATTTTTTATTTAATTATACAATAATAAATTGCATGAGATTTTTTTATATGAATTTTTTTAAAATAAAAATATTACTAGAATAAGTATATGAAACTGAGATAAATCTTTTTTATTTAAAGTTATAAAAATAAATTATTAAAAAAATAAAAAAATAACAGCTTAAATATTGTGACTTAATCTATTAAATCTTTGATATAAGTCATGAATTCCATCAAGTCTAATATCTTTTTTAAAAAAAATTAGTTTTTCATCTAAATAAAAAAAAAATATTTCAATTTGAGAGTTTATGGCACAACGCACCTTGACATTTTAAAAAGGAGTCCATGTGTGTGGGCTTTTAAGCATAATCCTTTTTTAATGTTTTTTTTATGGAGAAGACCAAGTATAGTTGCATAATTTTTTTTTTAATATATTACTTTTTTTTCCAACCAATTCCAATAACTTTTAATTAAGTTAATTTGAATACTATGTGTCAAATAACACTTATTTTTATGTCTTCTTTTTTATTTTTTAATTTATAAATTGCTTAATAAAATTTCATGACCGAACAAGAAATCTTGTTTTTTCTCTAATTTAATTTACATTAATTTTTATTATAATTTTAAAAAAATTATAATATACCACAGAATTAATAATAATTTTGAAACCAAAATATGCACGGCATTGTTTTTAAATTCTATTAAATAGAGTGAAAATAAAACCTCTAAAAAGTTTTTTTTTATTCTGTTTTATAATTTAAATTATTAAATAAAATTTGAAGATGCATTATTTTCTAATATTTTTATTGTCAAGTAGAGAAAAAAAAAAGGGTCCTAATTCTTGCTACAAAAGAAAATTGAAGTCTTATAAAATACGTCTGGATAGTTTATCTCTAGCACAAAGCAGTTTTGATTATACCACCAAGGTTCTCAAATGAAAGTGACCAGCTCTATTATTGCTTTGTATCATGCAGCACTCAAGCTAGCTTTGACTTCTCAGTATTACCACTGGTTTTGTGGAAGCTGGTGGAACAGCACCACCGGGCAACTCCAGCAATCTCATTGGCATGACGTTTGCATTTTTATATATTATTTAAAGTTTAATAATGGATGCTTTTCAAAATGAAAATAATATTTTTTTATTTTTAAATTTTATTTTTAATATTAATACATCAAAACAATACAAAAATATAAAATAATAATTTTAAATAAAATAAATAAATTTTAACTATTCTCCATTTGAGCTGCAATTCCGAACACAAACTTATTTTTTCATTTGCATCTGCTTTTTCTTTTCTTTTTTTGTTGATTTTGTGGGTATTTAAAAATATAATAAAAATTATTTTTTAAAATATTTTTTATTTAAAAATATATTAAAATAATATTTTATTTTATTTTAAAAAATTTATTTCCAATACCATCTCATTAAAATAATCTAAAAACATTAAAAAATTCAAATTTTAATAAAAAATAAATTACACCGCTCCATACCTCGTGAAGTTAGTGTTGACTTGTTGACAGTGTTTCCTGATGACCAGAATTTATAAAAATAATCATATACTCGTACAAACCATTCACGCAAAACTTGAGAAGAATCAGTTCTTGCTACCAAAGCATGCAAAAGTGAAAGTTTCATCATTTTATTCATTGTTTTTTTATTAAAAAAATAAAAATAGAGCTAAATCAGCTCTAGATTAAATCAAACGAGAAAAAATGGACCCAATGAGATTGAAATACAAGGAGGAGAAAAAGATTAAAGGAGGATTGGTAATTATTCCCAATCACCTATCAAATAGATCTTTACTTCACCCATAGTCAGCTAAACAGTCTGCTAATGAATTGGCTTTCCCTGAAAGCATGTTGCACTACCACTTCCCAATCTCTTTTTCATAGTTCCCTTGCTTTGACAATTAAAATATACATCCATTTTAATTGACTCCTTTGTAATGCAATCTATCACCAGCTCAGAATCCCATTCAATAATCAGTTTGGTAATACCTCGCGACCATGCAATCTCTAATCCAGCAGTAATTGCACATAGCTCAGCTCTAACTGAGATTCCCACACCAGTATTTATAGCAAATCCAACAATTCAAGATCCATTACCGTCCCCAATGAGTCCATCTGCTCCGGAGCACCCAGAATTTCCCCTTCTACTATCATCAATATTAGGCTTCATCAACTCCCTTGGAGGGTATTTCCAACCAATCCAACTCACTTAATATTGCTACAAGCTCCGCCATCTACCTCATTGGTACGTTTTATGTCTGCTACTAGACTCTTAATCACGTTCAAGGGACAAGTGTGAGACATAGAATCATTGGCAAAAATTCTTTGGTTTCTAAACTTCCGCCAGTACCAGATTGTTACTCCAAATAATGCAGACCAAGTAACTACTGCCATGGCCTCATCACAAGCCGAGAGGCTTCTTAACAGCCAAGTGGTCGCTCCTGCACTATAAAGCATTTCCTTGTCCCGTTGTTTAACAAGAGAATTCCAAATAATAGTAGCACTAGGGCAGTCTCTAAGTGCACGCATCCTTTTCTCTGTTTCCCCTAAGCAACGATGGCAACTAGATTCTCTGTAAAATGTCAACCCACTCTAACCTCATTTGTCTACAAAACATTTTGAGCCACTGTCCATAAGAAAGCCTTGATCCACTCTAGACCTTTCCATTTCCAAACCAATCGCCAAATAGGATCCTTGCGATGACTACAATTCACTTCATTAATTTGTGCATCACATGCAGACTGAGTAGTAAATGTACCTGGTGTGGTGTTTCGCCAATAAACCACATCCTTTTCCATACCACTTGAGGGGGGAAGGTAATTAGCCATGATCAACACTATCTGCATGGGGAGCAAGTGAGAAAAGATTCCCAGCTCCATTGCTCATTATTGATCACCATATCTGCACAGAAGCATTAACCAACTCCTCTGGAAGATTTGAGTAGCATGTTGCTCCAGCAGCCCAAAACCCTCTAACCAGTTATCCCTCCATTTCCGAATGCTTTGATTCATTGTTAAGCAAAACACTAATGTCACTTTACCTGGTAACAGCAACCGTGCAGTTCTCAGCCCAAATCAGAACCAATCACACTGTGCTTGGTAAAAGTTCATGTTTGGTAAAAAGTTCGTCGATTTATTTGATAAACTGGTGGTCCTATTAAAGCAAGGGGCAACCTGCACAAAGCAATCATGAATCAAAATTGACTACAGAATAATTGAAGCAATGAGAAAAGAAAATAATCACTATAAATCATTGTTGATGGATTGATTACATGAGTGATTTCTACAATCCATCAACAAACAATCTCACAAGTGGAAATAATGAAACATGGATCACCCTGGAATGTAAAACAACACCCAGATAGCATGCAATCATCAACATAAGTTAAAATTTCATTCTTTTTCAGAGACGCAAGCCATTCAAATTCCATTTTATTGGCATGCACAACCCAAGCACTGTGTCAAATATAACTGTATCTAGAGTCATCAGCATATGCATAAATCATATGCCTCGATGCTCAAAATCCCTTTTAAATAAATCCATGAAAGCAGCAAGAGCCATAAATCATGATTGATGCTCACTTCAAATTGTCATTCGTCAAATAAGCTGCATTTGAATAAAGTTTGGTTCAAGCTTATTGATTACCTCTTAATGGAATCAAATAAGCATGTCACTGTTTATTAGTGTCATTCCTCAACACAACAATAAAATCTAAGAATCAAAATATAAATATAAAATTGCAAGAAAAACAAACACAACCTGAAATGAAACCACAAAAAGAACAAGGAAAAAAATGAAACTGCAGAGAAAGATGTAATAAAAGAAAAGGTCAGCAATCTGATGAAAGTGGAAGAACATATACCCTTAAGCTGCTAAGGATTTTTTCAACTTGGTGAAGATTGCATTCCTCCAAAGTCCAGGTGAACTAACCAAAAGGGCCCATTACTATAAATAATCTGTCAGTTGAATAACCCAATTTGTGATCCCTTTAATTCATCCCACAAGACAAAGCAGAAAATGGAGCAAGAGAGCAAGAATAAATAATACCACACAGCAGCAAGAAGCACATAGCCACTTCTTTCAGAAAGATAGAGAGATTTTGTTCCTCTTCTACTTTGCAACAAACAAAATTTCCACAACATCATATTTGAACAACACTACAGGTGCTCAGCTGTTTTGAAGAATACCGACTTTGAATCCATTATTGGAGCTTAATGGGCCTCTATAACACATTTATAGTTGTTGAAAATAACGCTGCGCTATTGGTTTTCATTGCAATTGTAAGAACCATGTCCAGCAGTTTGACATGCACTCAAGAAGTCCATCACTTCACAACAGTATAACAGATGCATTGATGTCCAAAAACAGAAAACTGCTTCAGGAAGTCCATCACAATTTAATCATGCAAGGGCCATATGGTAGATATGATGATGACCAAACAACAGGTGCAGTTTCAGGAAGTCTTTCATGACACAATTTAATCATGCAAGACTAGATGTCATCAGAAGCCGTGGCATGGTTCCAAAAAACTACAAATCAACTGATAGAAGCTGCTTCACCTCTTCTCAGGAGAAATGAGCTATTTTTCCTTTTTCTTTGTCCTTATCTCAGGCAAGTGAAGTAAGAAAATCAGGATAAAAAAGGCTCAACAAAACATTTGCTTTAATTAATTAAGGTATGCATAGCTTTTCAAGTGTTTCAACTGCACTCACAACAGAGGGTTGTATAAGCTACAGCACCACTTCAGGGAAGCGGGTTTCTAATAGTTTATTTAGCTAGTGTTCTTTTGACCTGTCTGCATCACTTAAGCATCATGATTGACAAAACGCATACAGTCCTACCCAATACAAAAAACTAGTTAGACAGTCAACCTCTGTGGCTTTATGAGCTTCAAGAGTACAGGAAATAGAGTTTTATGATATTCATTTTCTGTTTCTATGATTGGTTCAAATATTCTCTTCTTATGCTTTCCCAATTTTGATCAAGAGTAAGTATTAGCCCAGCAGTCTTTACTGAATTTCTTTAAGTGAGCTTAACAGATTTTAATTTCAAATGCAGTGTCAATAATCAAAATGCAAGCCCCCAAAAAAAATGTTATCTGGCTATCTATGCCCCCTTCCCCGTGAGCAATACCTCTCAATGATTCACTTGCAAGCATGATGAGATGACTCTAGTATGAATTATTATTCCTAAGTATTTTTTTTCCCAATGAATTTGCCATTGTATAAAAAGTATTCTGGTATCAGTGCATCCTCATAGTATCCGAAAGATAAGATAATGAAAGAAAATTGAGATAAGATAATGAAAGAAAATTGATGCTTATCCTTCCCTGCGGGAGTCTTCATGCTAATAAATGAATGCAGTCAAACTACCATTATAATGCACAGGTAATGTGAATGTAAATTTCATAATAAATTAACAGTACTGGTAAAGGAATGAATTTGAGACAATACCAGGTCTCCTTCATGGAAAGTTGGGTTCATCATCTTCATCAACCTTACCAACCGCCTCAAGAATTGATGAGTAAGTGATGTGATCATATTCAAATCCTCTTGAACTCATCTCTCTCATCAGCTTTGCAGCCTCCTCAAACATGCCAGAGCGGCTCAGACTGCCAAGAATGGTGTTATACGACACTGCATCTGGCTTGATCAACGAATCTTTCATCTTCATAAACATTTCAGTTGCCTGTTCTGGGCGACCTGTCCTAGCCAGGCCATTTAGAATAATGTTATGCGAGTTTATGTCTGGAGTGCAACCATTTTCTTCCATGGTTCTGAGCGCAGAAAAAGCTTCTTCTATCATGCCAGCCCTTACCAACCCTGACATGAGTGCATTGTAAGCATAAACATCAGGATTGCATCCAATTTTCTTCATCTCGTTGAAAAGATCTACTGCCTCACTCGGACGGCCACACTTTCCAAGATTTTTTATCATCACAGCATATATACGAGCACTTGAACGTCCACAATTCTCTTTCAACTCCAGAAATAACTCATTTGCAGCTTCATATCGTTTTGCCTTTCCAAGAGCGTTGATAAGGCTGCAATAGGCAGCTGGACAAGGCGGAAAACCCTTTTCATCCATCTCTTCAAGAAGCAATAGAGCTTTCTCAACTCTATTTGTTTTGCAAAAACCATCAATAAGAATTGAGTATGTAAACGAGCTGGGAGCAACACCATTTGCCTTCATCTTCTCAAACCATGAAGCAGCCTCGGAAGCTGGAGCTTTGGATTCAAATAAAGCCTTGATTACAGTGTTGTATGTAACCACATTTGGCGCGCACTTCCAAGACCTCATCTGGTCAAAAAGCTTAAGCGCATCTTCCAAGCGACCTGCTTTTCCAAAAATGTTGATCAAATTGTTTATCAGCACAACATCAGGCTTACAACCATCCTTTAACATATTCAAGAATACACTGTAGGCATCTTCAACCCTCCCAGATTTTCCTAGCCCCTTAATCAACTCGGTGTAAGTGAAGACAGTAGGTGCACAGCCCTCATCCTTCATCTCTTGCACCAAACCCAAAGCTTTCTCATCACCTGACTTGAAGTAGATTGCCAGCAAGGTAGTATAAATCTTTGCAGTTGGATGCAAGCCATTGGCCTTCATCTCATCGAACAACCTTATAGCATAATCATCCCGATCCAATTTCCCAAACGCCGAAATAAGCACACTATATGTCATTGTGTCTGGAAAACAGTTACCCTCATTACACATCTCATGGTAAAGCTCGTGAATTTTTTCATGATGCCCTTCTTGCATCAACATCAAAATCATAGAGTTGTAGGTGCTCGCCGTTGGTTTGCACTTGCGACTCTTTATCTGGTAAAAGACAGAAAGTGCCTTATTCACCATCTTGGCCTTGCCCAATATCTTCACAACTTCAGACAAATCAGCCGGACCAATGACACACGTCGGGCTCCTGACCATTTCTTGGATCATCTTCCACATTTCACCAAATAACCCACAGTCATCCAAACAACGGATTAGAGGCATATAAGTAGTCAAATCGTGCTCAAAGTTCCTCCTCTTGCCAGCCCACTTGAAAAACTGAATCTTAACATTAATTTCAACATCTATCTTCAAAACCTCACGAACCAATCGATGATCCACTTTCAACTTGAGCACTTCCAAGGCCTTTTCAGCATCAGGTCCCCACTTAAATATCTTCAAAATCCTTATAAACCTCTCATCTAATGTCCTAACCGAAGGGTCTCTCCTCGAGAACTTGCTATTTTGCGTGGGCAAGTTCTGCATTTCATCATCCTTTGAACTGGGTACCTTGAACATTTCAACTATTTCTTTTTCTGCTACAAATACAATTCAACAAAATTATGTAAATAAATAATAAAGAGACAATACTTTGTTGTTGTTGTTGTTTATGTCAAAGAGTGGAATTTGGAAAGGTGAACGGTACCTGTTTGTTTAATTCTCTGAAAGAGAAAAGGAAAAGTTGATATTGATCGCTTTGAAGCAATGTGTCTTAGAACCACCATTTTAGCCATTTGGGAAACAGACTTCTGCACTAAGAGAGAAGACATCGCTCCATATATTATTCGAGTGAGTTAAAGGAAAAAAGGAAGACTCCCCGTCGCCGCCCGGAGGAGAGAGAAGGACAGGCTGGTTTTAATAACTGGGCTGGGATCATTTGCACTAGGTTTCTAGAACAAGTTGGTGTTTGATGTGGCAGGTATATTTTAAATATTTTAATTATATAAATAAGAAGTAGTAAAATTTTAAAGATAAAATATTTATTATTGGTAACAATAAAAAAAATTATTATTTTAAAGTGTTTAAATAAATAATTATATTTTTTATTTTAATTTAAGTATGTATATTTTTATTATTAATATGCTAAGACTTTTAATTAATATTAATTATAAATTTAAATATATATTTATTATGGATACTAGTATTATATCTATATTAAAAATATATTTAACATGAGTTATTATTTTATATGTTTATAAATTTAAATTTATATAAACTCTAGGTTTTTTTTAGAATTTTTTTTATATTTAGCATGTTTTGTTATAATAAACTAAACATCATGACTCATTAGCCTAATATTTACATATCTATAAAAATTTCATCTACAATTATTAAGACTTTATTCTTTATATTAAATTTTTTTTAGTTTATAACATGAAAAAAAATTATATAGATTAATTATTAAATAGATTTTAACTTTTTTTAAATTTAAATCATAATTTAACTTTCTTTTAAGTTGTTATATTCTCACATATAGATTTAATTTTAATTTTATAAGATTTCATATGTAATCTTTTAATATGTTATGATATATTTTTTTAGCAAGTTACAATATATCTTTATTATAAATTTATAATTTATAATTTATCTTTTAAAATTATTTTTCATGTTATTTGGATGATTTGATATATTTCATAAATATTATTAATATATTTCTTCTAATAAGTGAATCATTAATTTATTTATAATAATTATTATAAAATTGATATCAAAGATTTTAGGATAGTTTTTGTTCACATGTATAATATTAATGTGATGAATAAATACGCCTCTAGAAAGTTTTATTTTAAAAAATAATTTTTATATAGTATTGTTTGTAACCTTTTCAATATTTATTTAAAATTTATATTATTTACACGATATTATTTTTATATATAATATAGTTTATATGTGAAATAATTGATGATTTTATCTTGAATAATTTAAATATTTTTATTTAAAAAAATTGCTCTTTTACAAGTATTATTTTATTACTTGCTTATTATAAAGCTTAAATATTTATTTAGAATATTATTGGCTAATTTTTTAGATCATTTTTTATTACTGAAATTTGATTGTTCTAACCAATATTGTTTTATTTTTTTTTATGCATGGTAAAAAACTTAAAAAAGTTTAATGAATCGAATTTTAAGAAATTATAATAAAAGATATATTTTTATTTTACCACTTTAAACCAGATAAAATTTTTAATTAAAAAAGTGCTAAAATAATTAAAATAAATAAATTTGATCTTCCTATTGTGGCTGTGGCGGGTATGAATGAATCAAATTAGAGTGATTTCGTGTGCAGCTACATGTTAAACGGGTACATTATATGAAATGTATAGTTAAATTAACAGTGAAAAGGCAAGCAAGAAGAACTGTGGCACGCCAAGTATTTGTAGAGAGCTCTCGTTCCATTTTTGTTACAGTCGGATGAAGAACAAATGTTATAGAGAGAAAGACAGAGAGAGATAGGGGTGCGAAAAAAAAAATATTAAATCAAGAAAATTAAAAAAATAAAACAGTGAAAAAAAATTAATTAAATTGATTAAAATTTTAAAAAATCAACCGAATTAGTTTTTTTTTGTTTTATAAGTTTGAAACCAGAAAAACTGGAAAAAAACTGAGTTAAACCGAAACCAAACCCATAGAAATTACAAAAACAACCTAAAAAACAATATAATTTTTTATTTTTAATATAAAATAACTGAATCAAACTAAAACCGGTCAGTTTGAACCGATTTATACTAAAATAACCAAACTAAAATTGATTTGTTTGAATTAGTTTTGGTTTAACTTTGATTTTTTAAAAAATTAATTTAAATATTTTTTTAATAAAAATCAAACCAAATAAATTTAGTGAGGGATAAGAGCATGTCTTGTGATAATTGTAGAGCTTTTAATTTTAGACTCTCACAGGCGTTCTTCAAAGTGCTTTTGGGATCCTTATTTTAAAGGTTATTTAAAAGTGTAGTAATATTTATTTTTTAAAATGTATTTTTATTTTAAAATAGTTTAAAATAAATTTTTTATTTAAAAAAATTATTTTTAATAT